ACAGGGGCCCTTTAACACCTAGTAGCAGTGCACAGCAGGGTCTTCTGACTGTGGGGAGGAAGATGCAGAAGAGGGGGCCATATCCAGTTCTCAAAAAGGCAGCTCTGCCAGAGCATGAGCCCCTACTCTGCACGCAGCCCCACGGGCCAGGAACCAACCCAGCCAAGCCCCACCAGGAAGCTTTCCTCCAATCCAGGGTGTCGGACGTGTGGCTCTGACCATGGGCAAACGCCCTGGATGCTAGGGTGGGAATACGGGAGCTAGTGCGGGGAGTCTGGAGCTTCAGAGGGCCCTACGGAGCCCCCATGGGCCCCGGGCTAAGTAATTAGAATAACTCGCATCCTACTGGGAGGCTTGAGGCCAAGGGAGCCCAGGAAAGGCAAGAAGCCATGTGATGGCCAAGCCCGCCCCCTGCTGGCCACATCTGGAGCGGCAGAGTCAGTGGCACAGGGCAGGGTCCCCAGGCCCCTGGGCCCTTCTCAGGCCCCAGAGTCCAGAGGCAGGTCGGAGTCCGGGAGGGCTCATTCAGGACTGAGCGACCCAAGGTCCCAGCTCCCAGGTTCCGTGTTTTTGCCTGATGGGGAATCTCCTGGCCCAACCTCCGTGAACCCAGCCACCAGGAGATAACAGGTAAGAGTAGGGGAGAGGAAGACGGAAGGGAGCGGGGTGGGAGTGGGGGAGGATATGGGGGAGAGGAGGGCCTCACACTCCTGGCTGTCTCACTCCTCCCAGGCCAGCCCGTGCCTCCTGGGCAGCTGGGGAGAAGTGGTGGCCGCTACCACTGCCCGGATTTCCACTCCCGCCCCCAGGTATTGATTTCCTGCATCATTCATTTGCCGGCCTTGGCGGCTGTGATTAGCTCCCTCCATTCTCCCTATGGAGCCCCCCGCCCGTCCCTCCATGTTCCAGCAAAGCAGAGCTAATACCAGGCTCTAAATGAGGCTTTGCCACCCTGGCCCCAGCAGCTCACAGTCAGGTCTGGCCAATTACAAGGAGGCTCTCGGCATGTCCGCAGCCAGCCCCTCGAAGAGGTGCTTTCCTGGCCAATAAACAAACTCCTCCTCTCTAACCACCCCCATTTCCCAGAGCCCCCTTCCAGGCAGGAAGCACAAATCTGCAGCCTGCAGCATAGGGTGGGACGTCATGTGGATCTTGACCTGAAGGGGGGAACTCTCCTGCCTGAAATGAGGCCTGGGAGCCCTCAGACTAGCTGAGGGGCTAACTTAAACTTGGGGGGTGGGAGGTGGGGGGTGGGTGCAGATAATGCTGACAAAGCAAATAAAACAACCTGGATTTGTGAACACAAGGTCCTGTTTCTCCCTTGTGTAGTTTCCATCACTGAGAAGGAAGAAGGGACAAGAGGCAGGGACCTTCTCGAGGATACTTAGAAAACCCCAAGCCTTCTGCTTGCCCTGGGAGGCCAGAGTTTTCATATGCTATGACTTCCTTCACCAGCAGGCAGCCAGTTTCAAGGCATGGGGTAGAAATGTCAGTGAAAATTCCCAAGGGTGCCCACAGCCAGATCAACACTCAGAAGATGGCACTGGGAGACGCACCTCCTCAAATTCCCTTTCTGCACCCCTCGGAGGAGGGGAAAAAAACCTGACTTGGTGATAATTCTGTAAGCTATGTTGCTCTTGTCAAATTATTCAACATCTGTCTTCATGTTCCCACAAAAATTAGCATAGGATAGTAGTTTCTGATGACACCTTTAGTGAAATATTTTGACTTCCACCAGTAAGTTGCAAACAACCTGTCTTAAGGATAATGTCAATTCCCACTCCTGCATATTAAATAATCCAGGGGTTTGTTGTGTTTTTGAAAGGGAGAGGAGTCCCACTGACCTGCTGCTGGCTGGAAGTCCAGCGGCTACGGGAGGAAGAGAGGAAGCCAGGGTGGAGGAGAGGGTGTTCTCTGATGCTAACCACACACAGGACACTTCTCCTCCATCCCCTGGCTACTGTCTTTGCCCCAAAACGAGGTCTCTGTGGCCAGTCCACCTTCCCCTGGCATGCCAGAAAGCAGATTACAAGATCCACCCCAGAGCACAACAAACTGGCCCAGGAGATTGGGAGGTGGGAGGGAAGAGGAGACCAGCTCCAAACGGACCATCTGCTCCAGTCCTCAGCTGCCGGAGCATCTGTGCTCCCAAGAGCAAAGCCACCTGGCTGACGAAGAGCACCTCCCCAACCCTACCGTGGACAGTGGACCTCAGAACCAACAAGTGGACACTCAGAGGGGAGCTGGGCACCTTCTTCCTACCAGCCTCCGCAGAGAGCCGCGGCCCAGGAAAGATCCTGATGGCTTTACCCTCCACGTCCTGTTCTTCCTCCTTCTTCTCAGTTCAGTTTTCATGTTAATCTGCCACTCCCTTAGCCACACAGGCTGGGAAGATACAGGGACTGCCTTGCCCAGGCACACTTTTATCTTCTGTGCCTTGAGTAAAAGCTTCTGCCTCCCCGCTCACTGCCACGGCCGTTAAGGTGCCCTCCAGCTGCCAGCCTAGGACTCCATGACTCGCCCTAAGCAGAGATTCTCAAAGAGCCCCCACTATCCTGCTGAAAACCATCCTGGACAGACTTCTAGGGAAGAAAGAATTTCAAGAAGCGTTTCTTCAACTTCCTCCCAACAATGGCCCTTCATTCACGCAACAAATATTTGCCCGTGCCAAGCACCATGCTGGGTGCTGACATACAGTGATGGATGGGCATGAGTGGCCATCTCTCACCCCCACACTTTCACTCTTTTCTCACCTGCTTTGGAGCGGGAGGCGGGGCGCAGAAGAACTAGCTCTCCATACTGTTTCTTAACCCAGACCCAGTGATAGAGTAGTTCTCCCTTCTGCTAGAGCTAGCCAAATTTCTAGCATCACAGCCTCTTGCCATCCTTCTCCTCACACTAGATCTTCCATTCTCTCCATCCACCCCGATTAAGGCTTTCCACCCTGCAGTTCCCCAGAGGCCCCAGACTTCCTTGGAGGCAAACTCTCAAAGGGCAAGTGGAAAGAATGTCACCCAAGAGCTCCAGGTTGGCCCCACTGCTCCAAGCCCACCTTGATTTGCTCTGAGAGCAGCTAGAACCCAGGCACATGAGGTGGTGGAGAAAATTCAGTGGAAGGGGGACTTATAAGGCAATGGCTAAATCCTGGCCCCAGAGTTCTGTGAGTGAGGGTCCACAGAGACCACTGCCCCACCCCTTGCCCTCATGGCTGGGGTTTCCAGGCTAGGCTCACGGGAGTCTCTTGGAGATGGGTTCCAAGCAGCCCTGGAGAAGGGTGAAGAAGCTAGAGGGGATGGAGGAGACGGATGGCCAGGAGATGAGTCTGCCAGATCTGCCCAAGGCCTGAAAGGGAAGAGCAGCGCGGAGGACAGCAGCAGAGACGAGGGCTCCCCATCACTCTCCAGAGCCCCTGGGGTGTGGTGAGAAGGCAGAGGCCTCAGCTGGGCCCTCCTGAGGTCACCTCTTAAGGAGGCAGTGAAGTTGCAGGGAAATCTTGAGGAGAAAAAAAAGAAACAGGACCCGTTCAGTACACCGGGTATCTTCCCCTGCCCCGGGGAGGCCGAGGCCTCGGGAGCAGGCTCAGGGGCCTCCTCTCCACAGCCCAGCCCCTCAGTCCCTGCTGCATTCTTCTCCCTTCTTGCCCTTTCTGGCCTATGTAAAGGGCCAGGCAGCAAGAAACACACAAACTAATTAAGAAGCAGAGTTTGGCCAGATGCCTGAGCCAGCCTCCCGGGGGAATTAAACCCAAGCTAGCTAGCTGTGTAGGGCCAGAAGGATGTCACCTCACAGATACCACCACCCACCCAGGACACCCTTCCCTCTTGCCAGGTATTCCCAGAAAGGCATTTAGCATCTGCACTTGAGGATGGCAACTGAGGGGACAATGCCTCAGCTCCCAACCCCTCCCCAGAACAGCTCAAACCCTCTCCTGATTTAGAGGTGAATAATCAGGTCGTCCACCCTAAAGAAACAGAATCGTCCCCACTCCAGCGACACCGCATTAAAAAAGTGACCCACACAGACCACCCTGCAGTCCGAAGGTACGTAAGGGCCACCGGGCCCCAAAGACTTTTTGTGCTGTGGGTCAGGGCATTATCGGCTGCTAGAACTCAAGACGGAGGGTTCCTGAGAGGGATGAGCCCTTGTGACCCTGAACGGATGATGCTGGCTCGCAGGATCTTTCCCCCGGAAAACCCATGAGAGAGAAGGGAGAAGCGGGTAACCAGAGTTCCCTTGGCGCCTGAGAGCCGGGCGTGCGGACGCGGGAGCAAAGCTGCGTGGGCAGGAGGCAGAGTTTGCACACGTCACCTGACGGGCGCGTGCCGTGTTTGCTTTCCCGGGGACCGTGGTTGAATGTCTGCGTGCGCGCAGGGAGAAGGAAGGTGGAGCTGGGGGTTTGTAGCTGGGGACAGGAAGAACTAACCAGCTCAGGAGAGGTCCGAGAAAGGATCCTGGCTTCTTGGGAGCCGGATCTAGGGGATGCCTGCATCTGCTTGGGCTGTCAAGAAGCGAAGCCTCCCGAGAGACCTGGGAAGGCGAGCCCGCCGCCGGGCCGCGGAGCTGGCAGCCAGCTCGCCCGCAAGCCGCGCGCAACTCCAGATCGTGCAGGCTTGGCTTCCACTCCAGAGGCCGAGTTAGGGTGGAACGAGATTTCGGTGCAACTCGCTTTCTCAGTCCCCACTGTGCGGTCTGTCAGGGTCTCTCGGGCCAGCTGGATGCTCTCAAGGCTTCCGATTCATTCCCGCCCCTGGCAGGGTTTGGGAAAGTGTGTACTACCTCCTCCTGGCATCCCCGGCTTAACGCCAGACCCCACGACCTGCCTCCGTGCGCTGAAGCAGCTAGCTCGATTTCCTCGCGTTCTGGAAAAGGGCGGGGACCCGGGCATCCACTCCAGAGTCTGAGCCGGGGTACCCACCAAACCCGGGCAGCGCGCACTTTGCGCCTCTTGCAAAGTTTCCGCGCGGGGCTGAACGGGCTTACAGCGGGACGCGGGCTCTTACCGTAGACTCCTTGTCCCCGGCAGTGGAAGGGGATCAGCGCCAGAAGTAGAAGGCAGGTCACCTCCATCTTCACGGCCCGTTCTTCATCCCCGCGAGGCGGCGCAGCCCGAGAGGCAGTGGGGGGCGCATCCGCCGGGGCCCCTCCGTGCCCCTTGCGTCTTCCCCTTCCCCGAGAGGCGACGGAGGGGGCGGCGGCGGCGGCGGTGACCAGCAGACTGAGGAGGCGGCGGCGGCGGCGGCAGCGATCCGGCTTTCTCCTCCGGCGGGGCCGCTGCCCGCGTGGGGACACAGGGGGCGCTGGCCTGGCCCCGGGTGCCTCGGCGCGCCCGGCGCAGCAGCCAGCGCCCCGGCCCGAGGAGCCCGGCAGCCGAGCCTCTCCGGGTCCCCAGGGCTGTCCGCTCGGGGTTCTGGGTTCTAGGGACCCCTCCGCGGAGGCGGAGGTGCTTGGATCCAACAGGCCACCGACGACTGACAAACTTGTCGTCTCCCCGCCCAGGGGACGCCCCTCCGTGGAGCGGGGGCGGGGAGGCCGGGGCTCAGCTCGGGTTAATCCGCTATCTCCAGTTCTGCGGCCGGTGCTGGGGGCTCAATGGCCCGATCCAAGGGGGCCGGGCTGCGCGTCCTCTCGGAGGCGAAAAGCCCCGACTCTGGGCCTCCAGACCCGGGGAGAAACGCCGGCTGGGCTCCGCGGAGGGGCGAGAGCCACGGGTCCCCGGCTCCGCGAAGTTAGCCGAGCCGCGGAGGAACCCCGGGGAGGAATCGCGCCCCAGCGCCCCGCGGGAATCAGGAGAACAATTCCATCCAAGAGAGGCCCCAGAACGCGGGGAAAGAAGGAAAGTTTGAGTCGTTTGAAAAATATTCGCGCTCTCGCCGAGGCCGGGGCTGCGGCGCTGGAGCCGCTCGCCGCCTCCGCTCGCCGCGCTCCGCTCCCGCCGTCTGGTCGCGGCGGTGGCGCACCCGGGCTCGGAGCTCTCGGGAGAGCGGGGCTGCGCCGCGCCCCAAGTTGGTCGTCCCCGCCCCCGCCCGGCGGCCTCTGCCGGCGGGGGCCCAAAGCAGGCGGGGCCGGGCTGGACCGGGCTCCCGGGCGCGGCGGCCGCGGGGCTCCGGGCCGTAGGAGCTCTCGGCTCGCTCGGCAACTTGGGCTTCGCTGTGCAGCTTTCCGCCCCCCACCCCGAGCTTTTGGGAGAGCGGGGCTGCGCCGCGCCCCAAGTTGGTCGTCCCCGCCCCCGCCCGGCGGCCTCTGCCGGCGGGGGCCCAAAGCAGGCGGGGCCGGGCCGGACCGGGCTCCCGGGCGCGGCGGCCGCGGGGCTCCGGGCCGTAGGAGCTCTCGGCTCGCTCGGCAACTTTAAATGTCAGAAAGCAGAAATGGATCCATCTATCCCGAGGACAGTGGCGAAGGGACGTGGGTTTCGGCGCGGGCTCTGCAGCGCGCTCGCGCTCGCTCTCCGCCTGCCCTCCCTCGCACACCCAGACCCGCTGCTCGAGCCGGGGGCACGGATCCCAGTCCTCTCGCCGGACAAGCACGGCCGTTCGCCCCGGGGACTCTAACCTAGCCCGCGGGGCAGGGCACACTTTGTAAAATGTTTTGCACTTTTGGGGGGCGGGACCGAAGCGGGGGTCGAAGGGGAAAAGCCGGGGCGCCCGCGGCTCTCGGGGTCCTGCAGGCGCGCGAGGCGGTCGCCAGCCTTGTGGGTCTGCAGGGCGGTCTGCGTGGCCCTGGAGTCCCTCCGCCCCCGGCCGAGCCCCGCCCCTTTCCAGGCAGCCACCGCCTCTCCCCGCGTCCGGCGCGGGGGCCGCCGCGGGAGCCGCAGGCTGAGCCCCGGGGCGAAGAGGGCGCGATCAGAGCTCCAGCCCTCGCCGCGCGCGGCCCACAGGTTGCCAACAGGTCTGTCCGCCGGACCCCGCAGCTGAAATTCCCCCAGCTACCCCCGTTCTCCGCAGCTCGTCCTTCTCCCCATCCTGCCTCCGCTCAGGACCTCAGGCGCCCCCAAGCGCCCCAGGCGCGCCCTCTCTTCCAGCAGCCTAGCCAGGGGCCGGCTCCCGCTACGTGGTCCCCGCACTCCCGAACTCCACTACTTCAAACCCGCCCTCCGGGAGCAGGGGTGGGAAGAGCGCGCCTCCCAAACGCGAGCAGGGAGAGGCAAAGGCTAGCAAGCGAGGCGGGAGGCCTCCCCCGCACCTCCGATCGCTTTCCCCTCCCCGGGTCTGGCTAATCTCACCTGCTCCACCTGTCGCCGTTATTTATCTCGGCGTGTGCGCAAGGATTGTGTTAGGGCAACCCGTGGGAGCGCGGAAAACCTTAACTAGCAAGAGGCGAGATTACAAACCTTTCTCCCCACCCCACCCCCACTCCCCGGACCTGTTTAATATCCTGGTTGTGATGGGGGTCCACGACTCGACGCATTTGTCAAAACTGAAAGAACATATTAAAGAATTTTTCAACATGTAAATTAAAACAAAATTTTAAAATAATTAAAGGATAAGTCACCCCCTTTCCCAGACCAATTTCCTGCTGGGTCCCTCCTCTCCTGCCTCTCACTGGAGTACCTGCCCCTGACTTCAGGGGTGTGACAGCAGGACTCAGGCCTCTGGAGAAATTCCAGGCAGCCTAGGAAGGGAGGGGCAAGTGTGCCCACCTCCTCGGTTTCCTTCTGTCCATCTCAGGAAGTCTGAGACCATCGGGAGAATTGTTTTCCCCCTATTTTATTGATATATAGTTGATTTACAGTGTTGTGTTAATTTCTACTGGACAGCAAACTGATTCAATTATACATATATTCTTTTTCATAATCTTTCATCGGAAGAATCTTATTCTGCAGCCCACCTCTCCTTAACTGAACCTCCTTCATCCTCTCCTTTTTTTTCCTCTCCTTCCTTTCCTGTGGGTCTATGGCTGAATAAGAGAAACCAGACCCACTTAGTGCTGGGCACCCAGCGGATGCCAGCTGAAGATCTGTTAAATGAACCAGTGAACGATTCCCATCAGAGACCACAGACCACCGACCTAGGATACCCTCAAGGCCGCCATCTTCTACTCCCCACTACCCCCAACCAAAGAGAAAAATCCATTTTCTGCCCCCCAAAGACATACAGAGTTATCAGGTTCTGTATCTTCCCACCCACCTTCCCTACGCAGTCTGAAAGGAAGTGGTACCAACTGAGGGTGCGATGATAGGTACCTTCTTTTATTATCATCCTCTTCCCATTATTTGAAAATTGTCACCTCCTCCAGGAAGCTCTCAAGGAGTGATCACAGTGATTCCTGCCCTCCTTGGCTTTGCCTATTTTAAGTTGAATGGGCACTTGTCCGTGTCATGGGAAACTGCCTTATTTATTTTTCAGTTAGCCAAACTCAAATAGCGGTTAATTGCTCCTTTTTGGCTTTGGGATGCATTATTGGTGGACAAGGAACCCCACTGACTCAGCTAACCATCTCTTGAGTTTACTGTCTCTGAACACCTAACCTGGCCTGGAGGAGAGAGAAGACTCATGATGGGGGAGGGACAGAAAGGAAAGGAGAGAAGAGGACTGAATTCTACCCTGGCTGGGATTGAACATTTGCTGTAGCTAATCCACTGTGAATACTCAGCAGCTAATTGTATGCAGTGTAAATACCTTGACAGCCTACTTGTCTGTGCCTATAAATTCAGTCATCTCCTCCCCTAGGTGTGCCTGCCTCTGACAAAGCCCTGGGTCTGACAATGAGAAGCAAACAGGAGAAGGAAAGGAACAGTTGGCTTGGGAGCCATGGGTCCGGAGCGCCAGTCCTAATCTCTCTAGGCCTTAGTTTCCCCAGCTGTAAAGTGAGTAGGATCCAAATTTCACAGAGTGGTTGAGAGAAACGAGTAATAATGTAATGGCTGACACCACATGCCAAGCACAGTTCTAAGCCCTTCATGTGCACTGACTGTTGAATCCTCACATCAACTATGTGAGACAGGACTGTTGTTCTCGTAGAATAGCACAAAGAGATTTAGCTGCTAAGTGGCTGAAGTGGACCCTGCAGGCTTGCTCTTTCCTGGGTGTTGAGTAAATATTTTCACAAGAAGTGTTCCTATTCTCTTCTGGAATAGAGAACAATTCTTCTGAGCCCCAGATTGGGCTCTTGGGGGTGGGGCATGAAAGCTAGACCACTGGATTCGAGGCAACAGTGAAGGAGGCCACTGGGCACAAGTTGAGACTGAAGCCACCTGGAGGCCTGGTGGTCAACACCAACTGCCAACTCTTGGGTTCCACTCGTGACATTCTAAGAAAAACGCCATCATTTTGCCCAGGAGAAAGCCCAGCCTGTGGGCTCCAGGAGGACTAAGTAGCTGCTGACTGAGGGCGTGCATGAGAGGCCGGACAACCAGGAGCCCCAGACCTCCGTCAGGCAGCGCAACTTCGGGCTTCTGTTGTGAGAGTGTTACTAGAAAGTTCCCCCATCTCCTCCTGCCTTTTCGATCACTGGCTTCTAGCAAGTCAGAGCCTGGAAGAAAAAAGTGGGAGAGACAGCACAAGAGTCTTTGCAAGGAGAGAGCATCATCACCGTGCAAGGGAAACCGTCTTGCAAAATCGTGCAGTGGGAGATATTGATTCAGTCTTAGGGGCAAGCCACTTTCTGGTCAGGTAAGAGCGGGCTGGCTGGGAGGGGTGAGGAATGAGGAGAGTTATGACCCTGCTGAAAGACCAGTTTATTAATTCCGGCTCTAACAAATAACCAATTAATGGTTCCAGCTGCTAATTAGTAAGCAGTTAACTCCTGTTATAAATCGTGCTGCTCGAGACTAGTACTATTGCAATCCTGCAATGACATCCTCGGCAAGGAGGGACCATAGAGACTTTGGTCGCTCACCAGGTCCTGTAGACCCCTCTACTCCCCTCCCCCAGACCCCCAGCAGGCTCTCCATTCATGGAATGAAGGATTCAGAGCAGGGACCCTGTCCACATGTTCACCATTCATTCATTTAAGATATATTTAATGGGTTCTTGCTATGTGGCAGGCACTACCCTAGGCACTGCAGATTAAATGTGAACAAAACAGACAAGAACCCCTGCTCTCCTGGAAGTAACATTCTGGTGAAGAGA